CATAAATTATAACTAGTTAATCTAAATTACTACGCTGCAATATCATACAAAAATATACATTTTGTAATACAGATTCACTTCTGCGAAATACTAATGTTATGGAAAACAATGCGTCATTGTACTATGATTCTTTTACCACCTTCAATTATGAAGTGAGGTGCACACAGTGCAAATGTACAGAGAAAGAACTAGTTGGAGCCTGAATATGTATACTGTAATAACAGCACATAGAAATGCAATATATCCTGTGTAAATTAATTAATTTTTACCAGCAGTGGTTTTAATTTAGAAATGGTTCTGAAAATATATTGTAAAATCTACATCAGTGAATTATATAAACATATATTATGACTAGAAAGTTTTCTCCACTATGGTTTAGTTCAAATTTAATCTAGTTTTAATTATAGCTTCGTTTTTAAAATCATCCATGCAACTTGCTCCATATATAATAAAAAAAGATTAAAAATTAAGTTAGTCTGCATGTTGATTTCTGATGGTTCTCATAATAAAGGCAACTGTTTCCACATTACTGAAAGCGACAGCATCACAAATCAATGCATGTCACAACAGAATAAAGACAGATGTATCTGATTAATCAGAATTAAATTTTAGAAGTGAAGAAAGCATCTAAAAACCAAAGCAAACATTTCTGCTATCCCAGTTGGTTTTTTTCCCCATACAATGCAGTGAAAGAACAACAAAGTCTGAATTCAGTTGATAAAACCCCAATTTCTGCTATAAACTTCTCACTGCGGTAGTGGGTATGTTACAGAGATGTGCACACTTCATATAACCTCTGACTTACTTTGATACTATGTTTATACAAACTTTCTGATTACAGGCTTTAATGTAACTTTTGTGTACTAAACAATAGTCACAATAAATTCTAAGTAAATAAATCAGCTCAGTATAATACTTCTACTAAAAAACGCTCACTCACAGTTTTTTTAATTAATGCAGTATCTCTCATTCTGTGGGTAGTTTTCTGTTCATCTAAGCTCTAAAAGAGGTAATATTTGGTGTTCATTTATTGTGGACTCTATGATATGCAGCTCCCCCATTTCCCTTCAATAGCTTGCCAAAAGAATTTACAAATAATATGTTGCAGCACAGAGTTATCTGAATAAGACAGGAATGCTATTTGAACCAACAGAGCAATGAGCTATTGATCCTGCAGTCAAAAAGAGAAGACACGAATGCAGGAAAAGGCATGTGACGGGACATTTTTATTCTGCTACCATTTGTCTTTCTTAGTGATAGTCCACTTTAAAAGCAGTTATTCTCATTTCTGGAAGAAATCAAATCTACTTGATACTAAAGCAGCTGTGCAAAGATGTTTAATCTGATAAATACAATTCTACAAGCCACTATCCCCCTCACAGAGAACTACAGACACATACAGGTACAGCACCCTATAGTCAACATTTGTATTACACTACGGTATCCGGTAACTTCTACAATATTTAGAGTACAGTATACCTAAAGGTATAAATACTCTGAAGGAATTTCAGCTATTTCCCATGTTAGCTTTTTTTACGTTTCAACAACAGCAGAGTAGTATGCAAGAACAAGCTTTTGCTGAATCACTCAGAGTTGAAATCCTTGCCCTACCAACAGAAAATGCTACACGGGTTGTCATGAAAGCAATTTTGCAGCAAAGTACGTGGGTGTTTGAAAAGGGAACGAGCATGGCATGAAACAGTTAGTGCTGTGCTAACTCCCTCTGTGGCAATATGTGATGCTTTCAAGGTGAGGTCAAGACAGACAAGGGTTGGGAAGACTGGGGAGTAAATTATGATCCAGAGGCTAGAACTGCAGCATTGCTATCCAACAGTTCCCCTACACAAGAAAGTATGGCCTCTCATGGGCTGCAGGGAACCCTAGCCCAGCATTTTAGAAGAGTTTTCTGTGCTAGGTAGTGAAAGAGGGAAAAGGAGAAGTTGTTCATATGAAATGAATCCTCTGTCTTGTAAGAATTGCAGCTCTCCAGCCTGAGCCCTTTTTATCTCTGTCCTTGGACCTCCTTCTTCAAAGACTTATCCTGCTTTTCTCTCTGATCTTACTCCATCACACAGCAGTTAATGCACAGAAATCTGTGGTTAGGCTGCATATGCTTTTCACTAGCTATATGGCACTGAAATGTAGCCTTCATCAGTCACTTTTGCCAAAGGGCCAAAGGATGTCCATGGTCAACAGGGAAGTCACTGGTTTCCCTATGACAGACTGAACGCAGTGGTGAATTCAGCAAACAGTTTTGGAAAAGGGAGCATTTCTCCTGCTGCTAATCTCCCCATTGCCACACAGGCAGCGTGCGCTTGGCCTTTAACTACTGCAAATAAGAAGGAAGCCCACAAGTTAAACCTAACCAGGACAGATAAAATGAGGAGACAAGAGGGATGAACACAGAATCCTGCTTGTATCACATAGAATCTAGGCTGAAGTGGAGGAGCTTCAGCTGCCAAAACCTGTGTCTAGCAAGCTCCTTTCCTCCCAGAAGCTATTCTGCTCTTGGGAACTGTACTGTCTGGGGAGCAGCTCTGCCTCCTCCCACTGACTCTGCAGGCTTAGATCAGGAAATCTTCGCTCCTGGTCCTGCTACGCAGTTAGCTGTGACTAGCTGGGCAGGACAACTCAGTCTGAAATCTCTGTTTCGATAGAGAAATATATATATGCCCAAGAAAGCATTCTGCTCCCT